ACACTCATACACTAAGGACATATAAATGGAGTTTGGCTTAGACAAATGCAAAAAACTTCACATAGAAAAAGGAATCCTGAAGAAAGAAGATTTTGCACTTGAAAATGGAGACATTATTGAATCCATGGAAGAGGCTACATGGAGGAATCCATTAAGGAATCCATGGCGAGTTCTACAAGTATTTAGGATTCTAACAGGCCAAACTAACGGAACATACACAAATAAAGCAAAGATTAATTAAAGAATACCAAAGTAGGTTAAACGCCATTCTCAAAACACAGCTAAATGCAAAACACACAGTTAAAGCAGTAAACACATATGTCGTCCCAATACTCACATACTCTTTGGAGTTATACATTGGACTCACACAGATCTCAAGCAACTCCAAAGGAAAACAAGAACAACACTTACTAAGCATAAACAACAACATCCTAAATCTGCCACAGAAAGATTAACCCTTCCACGTAAAGATGGCGGACGTGGCCTGATTGACATAGTTAACCTTCACTACAAACAAATACAGTCACTGCGAGAGTTTTTCTACAGGAAACAAGAAACATCACAATTACATAAAGCAGTAACTCTAGCAGACTCAAATAACACACCATTAAACTTACACTCACAACATACAGACATGACACAACAGACAAAAAACATAGACACCATCAAGCAATCGTGGGCTCGAAAGGCACTCCATGGCAGGCATCCTTATGACCTGGCCCAGGATTTTGTTGACAAAACTGCGTCAAACAGCTGGTTAGATCAGGGATGGCTCTGTGGGGAGACGAAAGGATTCATGCTTGCCGTACAGGATCAGATCATAAATAGTAAAAACTGTAGAAAACACATACTCAAAGATACAACACTCACAAATGACACATGCAGAAAATGTCACATCATGTCAGAAATCATGCAACACATCACTTTGGTTATTTACTCTTGGCACAGACAGGTTATTTACACAGACACAATCAAGTAGCAAATATAATACACCAAGAGCTTGCAAAAAAACACAAATTATTAGACATCCACGAACCATACTACAAGTATATTCCACAGACAGTATTGGAAAATAACATGCACAAAATGCATTACAACAGAGCCATAATCACAGATAAAACAATTTACACAACAGACCAGACATCACACTCATTGACAAACACAATAAAATTACATACATTACAGATATATCCATTCCAAACACTTGCAATATACAAAACACATTCACTGAAAAAATTAGCAAGCACACAGAACTCACCTAGGAAATAAGGCATCTGTGGAGGATGAAAGGGTGCTTATTGTACTTGTCATTCTATCTTGTAGAGGTGTGATATGACACACACTACACAAAAGCCTAGGAACATTACAATTGAATAGAAATACATACATCACACTACAGAAGGCCACTATATTGAATACATGCCATATTGTTAGGAAATTTCTGAATACTGACACTGACAAATTTATTTTAGTTTTTTGTCACAGTCATCGGTATCAACCCATTAAATATTGTATAATAATAATAATAAATCTTGCTAATCATCATCATATTGATGTGAGAGAGCTCAGAAATTGTAAAGAACCATGGAACAAGTTGAAAACCTTCTATTATGGCCATCCATGTCAGTCATGTCTATGAATCAAAAAGACACAGAACGGATGACTGCGATAAAGGATCTGTTTCTTTTTTTGGGCAGCTGATTTATTAAAATCTAGTTTTAGGTATATGTCCTATTTGTGAAGGAAAAAAATGTTTCTTAATTACATGTTTACAGTAAGATACTAGTTCAGACATTGTTCAAGTTAATTAGGTCCACATTCAGAGGTAAGACAAAAGCCTTTGTTCAAAAATCTTCAGTGTCCCTTGGCCCCAGTGCCTGATTTATATAGGGGCATTTGGGGCTGGTGCCCAGGGCCCCCACAAAACTATGTTTTAAACATAATTTTTTTTACTATATACTTTACACCAGTCAAATTTATATATGCGCTGTAGTTAAGTTAACTTGCAGATAAAATGGCATGAAAATGTTCTATATAATTTTTATAAGTTTGCTTTATTTAATTTAAATGTATTACGTTAAATGATATTGTCTATGTTTTATAAAATACAGCGTTATTTAATTAAATTTTATATTCATTTATAAAATGTTTTAAGCTTTTTAACACCTTTACAATAATTAAAATTTTTGAAAACATATTTTTTTTTAAGTACAGTATTATGTATAAATTTTCTAAATCGTCAAATTTCCCTCCTCGTAAAGGGGGCCCCACTTATTTGTGCCCATGGGCCTCTGATTGTTAAATCTGGCATTGCTTAGCTCCTAGTGGCAAATGCAACAGTGACCAAAGACTACTGCTCACAATATACAAATCACTATCTCATTCACTCACAATAGATTACACATCAATCCAGCAACTGACCAACAAGACTGGAAAGTCAAGCCAGCAGATGAAGTTGACAAAAGAAATGAAAAACTCAATCTACATTTACTATATCATTACTAAATCATGCAAACAAACAGAATAGCTTGATATTGGCATAAGGTGGAACTAGTCAGTAACTAGAGACACACAAAATACCTTATTTATTTTTACAGCAAATTACTCTTTAATCAAACAGTTTTTGGCTTTATTAATGCCTTTATCAGGTTTTTTAAAATGAGATTGCATTTGGACCAATATTTAAAATTCTGTTAATTTTAGAATATTACATTTTCTTTAAAAAATATAAAGGGGGGTTATTGACTGAGTTACAAATAGAATAAAATATAAATTTAAAAAATGTACAATTAAGAATAAAAGTAAATAAAATGAAATCATTGAAGTGCTATGATGACGTAATGTTTTGCACTGTGTTACAACTTTTTGCTGCCCTTCTTTTCTAATGGAACCCCCTTAGATACGAACGGTGGCAAAATAGCGATCTCAATACATAGTATAATGATTCAGTCTCTGCTGTTAATGCAATATTCTGTTAGTGTAGATTTAAATGTTAGTTTCTGACATAAACTTGTTAGTCTTAGAGCTGCACTAGAGAGCATTTACCAACACTGCTATTATTCAATGCAGCAAAAATTTCTTAGTTCAAAATGATTGAAAATGTTTGAGTAATCTTTACAGAAAATTACATTCTAAAGCTAAAACTCCTAACAGTTTCTATAACATACTTGATTTATACAGTAGTGTGGCTTTATTAAGCCATCTTTCTTATGTTTTTCCTTTCCCTTAATTACCTGTGACCATGTTCTTATGGAAGAAGCCGCACTTCCGGCCTTTGTTTTCTTAACCACGATGTGGTTGGTTAACCCATGTGGTCCGATCTGTCTTAAACAAAGGGGCTGACACCTGATTGGTCGGGGGGTGACTGACGAGGTTGACCTGAGGGAGATCGGAACAGGAAGGAAAGGATTTAGAGTGAGGGAGATCGAGAAGGACGGAGGACACATGAGGACGAGCCAGGAAATAAGAAAGTTGTTAAGTGAAGGATCCGAGGTTTTTTTTTATGATCAGTCACCCCTTGTACCTTCCATTTTTTATAATTCTTTTATTTTTATATCTTTCCCTAAAATCTTGGGCCCTAGTATTGTAATAATTAGTTAAGTTAATTTTAAGCTAGCATAAGGTTCTTTTGTATGCTGTACGTGGGAGCCACGTGTTGTGTCGTGACGATCATTCCTACGTAGATTTGTACAACCTAGTTTTTAAGTATTGATAATTGTCTATTTGGAATTCTGAAATTTGCGTTATTAAATTTTATCAACGCCGAGCTATTCTTTGGAGTCAGTTATTTATAACCTCGGCTACAATAGAATGCATTTGGTGGAACAAATTTAGATTTTTAATGCTCATATCAGTAATAAAAAAAAAACACAATAAATAAATTTTATTATTATTATTTTTTTATTACTGATATGAGCATTAAAAATCTAAATTTGTTCCACCAAATGCATTCTATAAATCAAGTATATTCTAGAAAAACTGTTAGGCATTCATTCTTTTAGTCTAAATTTATCTTACATAAAGTTGTTTGCTGAAGATTAAGGTACAGAATTGTACAATTTAAACAGAATTTAGTTATTTACAATTTGAAGTAGATTGATAAATTTTTCATGCACATGAATGAAAAGTCACTAAGAAACTCAGAGAATTAAAAGAAAGAATAATAAACAAAATAGTAAAATGAATCATGTTGGAAAATTGGGAAGCCTAAACAGCATAATGAAGTCATGTCATTTCGTAACTTTCAGTTAATTTGAGTCTCCCTTCAGATCAGATCTTTTCTTTTAAATTTTTCTACATTAATCAATCATTAATTTCAAATTATTAAATTTAGTACAAATTGGTACTTAATGCTTCTATTACCAAACTATGTTAATTATAACATAAAAGTAGTTTTTATAATTTTAGCAGTTCTTTTGATATTTTTGAATTCTGTTATTAAATAATCATTTACAAAAACAAAATCATGTATATGGTATTTAAAAACTATTGTATTTGTAAAATATATAACAATTTTTTAAGATAACTATATTGAAATGACTAACGGCACAAAACCTTTCTCATTAGAACCTTTCTCATTCTAGCCTTATTAACTGGAGTATTGAAATGGTCAACTATCCTAAGCAGTATGTCTAGTTTTATGTGTGCTAAACACAGGCTGTGCTGTATTTTCCAAAATATTTTAAAAAATCAATAAATGTAGCCAAAAATATGTGCATCTGTAAATGATGATCACATTCACAATCAAGGATCAAAAGTTAAAGCTAGAAGTAAATCAGTAAGGTATTTGTACTAAAAGTAAAGTTGAATGGTAATTATTTAACTTGATTATGAATTAACTTGATTTTCATCCTTGATTATGAATACGGTGGTTAAAATGATTCTGCTAGTATTTCTGATTAGAAGGTGATTTAAAACAAAATTATTGTCATTTCAATTTATTTTGTACCATTATAAATAAATAAATAAAATATTAACAGAATGCATTTTTATAAATGGATACTAATCATTGGGATTTTTAATTAGGAATGGAAGGTGGCGTTCTGTTTGGATGGTAACTTTTCCCTTGGGTGCTGATGTTGCTGAACTTCAAGGAGTGGTTAAAGTACAGGTTTGTTTAAATTTAAATCTCAAGTAATCTGATTTTTTTTTATGTTAAAATTCTTAACGTTTTCATTTATTAACTTAAATATAATAATTGCAAAAACTAAGTATTCATTTATTTAATTTAAAAAATTCTTATATTAAGTTCTTTAAAAATTTTCTTTAAACCTTCTTCAACGTAATAATATACTAGCAAAGATAGATGTTAATATGGAGTTAATATAAAACATTAATAAGTAGGTTCACATATTATATACCGTATTTACTTGCATATAAAACAAGGTTTTTATTCATTTTTTTATGGCTTAAGAAACCTAGGTCATTCTATACATGCGAGCGAAGGATTGTTTGCGTTTTTTGCAGTAATTTTTGTATAATCAGATAATAAAGTACTTACCAGAACTTATTGTCAAATGCAAGTATTAGTACATGAAAACTATCATACATTTTCTCAATTTTAATTTAATGTTTTTAATTTTTCATTTGTCTGAATATCAATCATGTTGCCACTTTTCTTACATTTATTATTACATTAACGTAAGTTGTTTTATCCTACAGTATATTTATTATAGCATTTAATTAATTAATTTAATTAAATGACAATTATTAATATAAACTAGATATTTTAGATACAACACATTTAAAATAATAAAAAATAAAGGAATGTAAGGCATACGTTCGTGGACCTTGGATGGACTACAAGGTCAAACATGTATTTTACTGTTAGCTAGTGTAAGTGAAAAAATACCATTGGTTTTTGACGATGAAATAAGTACGGAGAACACAGTACACAGCTTCTTTTAAGAGAAAAGTAATTTTTCATGCAGAAAAGGATAATAACTGTGCTACAGGCCGTGAGTTTAGTGTATCAAAAGTGTGTGTGCGGAAGTGGCATAATCAGAGAGATTCATTATTTAGTTGTGAAAGTACAAGAAAATCATTTTGTGGACTGGAAACTGGTGAATATCCAAAGTTGCCACCATACATTAGAAATACAAAATTTTGTGAAACATGCCAATAGATGTATGCTCGTGACTGGAAATTCTCTAAGCAAAAGCCAGAGATGTCGTGAAAGAATGAGGAATTCCACGGCAAGAATTCAAAGCAAGTTTTGGTTGGGCATCCTGCTTCATGAAAAGAGCAGGATTCTCCATAAGACGTCGGAGCTCCATTGTTCAGAAATTACCCACCAATTACAAAGCCAAGCTGGTCCAGTTTCAAAGGCACATCATCAATTTAAGAAAACAGACTAAATTCCTAATAAGTCAAATTGGGAATGCAGATGATATGCCAATTTACTTTGATATGCCGAGCAATACAACTGTCCATCAAAAAGGAAAAAAGCAAGTATCGATTAGGTCAGGGACGAATGCAAAGCGAAGAATTAGTCATGTTGGCATGCACAGCAGACGGTCATAAGTTGCCACCATACATTATACTGAAGCGGAAAACAATCCCTAAAGATGAAACTTTTCCAAGAGATGATGATGTTCAATGTCATGAGAATGGCTGGATGAACAATGAGATTATGACTGACTGGTTAAAAACAGTATGGCTTCATTGACCAGGAGCATTGCTAAAACTACTGTCAGTTTTAGTGATGGATGTATTCAAGGGACACCTCACAGATGATAAAAATCTTCTAGGGGAAAACAAGAAAACACTCATAACAATTCTGGGGGGGACTGACATCACAATTACAGCCCTTGGATGTGTGCATTAAGCCGTTTAAAGATCATGTGAGGAAACTGTACGATGACTGGCTTTCCTTCAAAAATTGTGAAGTAATTGCAATCAGCCGCATGAAGCTTCACAGATTGCTATGTGGGTATCGGTTGCATGGAAGAGCATTCCTCGTGAGCTGATAGCAAAATCATTCAGGAAATGCTACATTTCAAATTCACTGTACAGATCAGAGGACAATGCTCCGTGGAGTGAGAATGAAAAAGAGGAGAGTTCTAACAAAGCTTCGCAGAGTGAACAAAGTAGACAAAAGGTGATAGTGTCAAGGTTATTTGCCTTAATACATACAGTACATTTGAAATTTTTTTGTGATTAAACGAATAAAAATTAGAATTGTATCAATAAATCTAATTTTCTTTATTTTGATCTTTAAAGTCACACCTTGTCCTAAATACAAGTAAATACAGTAATTTATACTGTATTTTATAAAAGTGAATTATTTTAATAATATAACTATGAGATAGGAAAACTGGAATGAATGGAACATGGAAGGCAACAAAACCACCATGTTCAACTAACTTTTCAAAGATTTGATCAACCAAAATCAAAGCAGAGAAAAGATATGCACAGGCACAGATAGGACTTCTAGGTTTGTCTTTGTACAGTGGAATACTAGGGAGAGGCACTGTGGAGCAAGGCTGGAACATTTGGAAACCAAGGTTTTTACATGAGGCTTCTGGAACAAAGCCATCTGGAGGTCCTGGGCAGATGCATAAGTCCCCTAGCAAAATAGCTCTTAGGGGAAGAAAACTTGGATTGTGAAATCCCTCTATCAAACAGGGAAATTGTTCAATGTAATCAATGAAATGAAAAATTTGAATATTTCAATCCTGGGAGTCCAAAAAGTTAAGATGGACAGGGAAAGGAGATATGGGAACAGAAAATGGATATGGATTCATCTACTCAGGTGGCTATCATCAAAGAGTAGGCATAATGCTGAATAAGAGTATTGCAGCAATAGTACATTCAGGAAAAGATTATAATAGTGATCATCCACAGGTTCCCAAAGTGTAGGTTGTTGTGATCCTCTGGGAGATCGCAAGAGGTTTTACACAAAACAAAAAATTAGTGTGAAACACGTGCTTATTTTTCAGAAACACATACAAATCATTTTCAAGTTTATGGCGATTTCTCGCTTTTATTTTAATGGCAGCCGTCGATGAGAAACTTTTTTTGCAGAGATACAAGATTTGCCAATGGTATCATAATTGCGGAAGCAGGGGGGAGATATAAATAAGAAATAAATAGTAGTAAGGGATCGCGAGTAACAATATTGTCCAAAAGTTTGGGAATCCTCGATGATTATAATTTAATAGCATCAAAGATAAAAATTCAGTTGAAAAAATAATTAAGAATAATAGCTATCCAAAAAGGCTAGAGACAGAACCGCTAAAAATAGAAACCACCGAAAGAAGTTGAAAATGGTTAATAAATATTAGAATTTTAACAGACAAACACGTTGAAGATATTTGGAAAAATATGAAAATTGAAGTCAAGGTGCTATAAACGTTCTTGGTGAAGAAGAAAAACAAAGAAAAAACCTTTGGATCATTGAGGAAATATTGCAAGAGATGAGTGTGAGAAGGAAATGGAAAAAAACAAACACAACATTCGCTAAAGAAAATTACAAGACTGCAGATACCGCTGAAATCCAAGGAAGATTGGCCGAATAAACTTTGCCAGTAAATAAAAACAAAATTTATCCAAATATTTAAAGAAAGTTAACATTAATGTAATTTCTGATTAGTACGGACGGACAAAAATTGGTGCAATGAAAGACGAAAAGGAAAACATGGAACTTGAAAAAAAACAACAAATGGGAAGGTAGAGTAGCTACATAACGTAACTTTATGGAAGGGAAGACAATTGAATGTGAAATCAAAGAGGAAATAGACAGAGAGGTCCTAGAATTTCTAGAGGCAGAGATTGAAGCGTCATCAAAGAGACCGAGAGATAGGAAAGCACCAGGAATTGACAGAATACAAGAACTACTAAAATCTATGGGTACAAAAGACAAAACCATTTTAACGACTGTCTTCAGTAAATTCTAGAGACGCTATCCTTTTTGACTGGGCAAATTCTATTTTAATATCAATATTAAAGATAGCAGGGACAATGGAATGTAATAACTAGCGGGAATATGATTGGTGGCGAAAAAATTCGCCACCAATCATATTCCCGCTAGTTGTCACGTGGTTCTTGTTGTTTTCGAGATGGCTACAGAAACTTTTTCACGGAATAGAGAAAATGTTGTAATTACGGATTTTTAATATTCCTCTCACCTAGCATCGTTTTCTTTTTGACGTATCTTTCTTTTAAATAAACAAACGTGGTTAATTACTGAATATCGGAAGCGGCCATTTTGATTTTCCAGATGACGTTTTCTCTCGCTTGCAAATGTTTGGTTGCTTAAAATTTGCAATGGCTTTTCGCTTTTCTCATTCGCTTTCGCTATTCGCTCAGTGTGGACTAACCTTAACACCTATACAGCTGACTTCGACGATATAGGGTACTCGAGGATGTGGCAGATGGAGTAAAAATTAATTGTTGCCTAATCAATAGCATAAGATACGCTGATAATAGCTTTATTGAATGACACTAAAGATTGCAGAATTTACTCAACAGAATGAATAAAATTGGACTAGAAAAAAAAATAGTAAGAAAACAAAATTAATGAGGATTTCAAGGGAAACAAATGCTAATGTCGATTTGCAAATCATTTTGGTGTTCACAGAGTTGGAAGAATGAAGAATTTCGAATTTCGTAAGCTGGATTACAGACGATAATAAGTCTTGAAATTAAAGGTCGAATATGCAAAGCAGAATCAGCTTGCTTTCGTACTTCTCACATATTAAAACAGAAGTCTCGAAATATTAATAAAAAATGTTAAGACAATTGTGCGTGGTGACCTGTGGATGCGAGACTTGGTCTGTCACGAAAGCATTGGGATTAGCTAGACAGGATCACAAACGAAGTGCGTAAAAGATTTAACGTAGGAAAAAAAATAATGGTTAGCATTACCGAAGAAAATCATTTGGTAAGATCTTCGGGCCGATTCAGTGACGCGTTATCCTATGGACAAAAGGGCAATTGCCCGGTGCCCCAAATCGATCTTTTATAAACTCGTTACTAAGAATATCGAAATTTAAGTTTGGGTTACGTCTGAGGACCCTACGTTGTCGGTGTGGTGAAGGCGTGGGTTCACTAGCACGACGCCGAGGTGGCATTAAAAAACGAGGATCCCGGGGATTTCCCCCCAAAATCTCCAGAATAAAAATGTCTGAGGTCAATACCGAACACGGGGCACCGTGAATCTATAACGCGCCACCGGGATATCGAAGACGGCGACAGAGGGATAGCACGAAGGACCGGATGGGAACCGATCAGAAGAATGCCGTTGACGGGAAAAGACAGAAAGACATGGTTCGTCAGTTGCAATCTTCTAATAAGAGGATGCCACAAAAATAGAATACTGAGGTTTATATACACTATTATTTACGTATTATTAATATATAAAACTTGACATTTACCCTATACCTTATATATGTGACAAGGATAGGTTTGGACTATCGCACAATTACGGGAGGTTTGCCGACGGGTGGGAGGGATTGTCGGTTTGACTGCAGTCAAGACGAACCAGGAGTAAGGGACGGTATGTGGATAACAGCGGACGTACCGAGGCGAAGCGACGTAAACGAAACCCGTGGAAATCTCGTAGAAAGGATATTGTACTCGTACTACGATGTAAAGGTCTACGTCGTTTTCTACAGAGTCCTCGATGTGTCGGCGGCCCGGGGCGACGAAAATGGAGAAGTTGCGGCCGACGTTTACGTTTTTGCGTTGAAAACGTCGGCCGCAACTTCTCTAATAGCGCGAAACAAGCGCGGAAAGGGGGATGCACGGGCGAGGGCCGGGAAAGCCAAATTCGCTTTGTCCTCGAAATTCGTGGATAAAAATCCCCGGATTCCGTGTTCTGATCCCGGTTTCCTCCTCTTTTTCCGGGTGGAAATAAGACCGGATCGGATCGCACAAACGTCTGTCTTCTGTATTGGACCCGGAGATGTCGGCGAAACTTGGAAATTGCGCTCGTTGTAGACTTACATTCGCGTTGTTTCGTGCCGTTAAAATATTTTTAGCGCGTTTGACGAGACGCCGGATAATTAGTGTTGGATGGCCACGGCGCAGGTATCGTAACAATCGAAGCTATGTCGAAATTTATTCGGTACTTTATTTTTTTATAGGTAGTGAAAACTAAAAATATCTCAAATGTAAATTGCTTCGCGCCTGGTATATTTTCGTAATTGTAAAAAAGTTTCTTCACAGGTGCATTATTACGAAGATGGCAACGTGCAGTTAGTGAGTTCCAAAGACATTAAAGAATCTTTATCGATTACCGTAAGTAAAAGAGTTCAAATTAATAGATTTAACCGGTGGCGTTTGATTAGAAAAATTGTTTTCAGACCGAACAACAGACCGCTAAAGAATTCGTTCACGTGGTAGAAGTTGTGGAGAACGACTATCAGGTAATTTTTCGGAAATAATTAGACGAAGGTGGCTTTTTAAAGTCTTACGGCGAGTTACTTTTTCAGATGGCCATTTCGGACAATTACCAAACCATGTCCGACACCACCTTCAAAGCTTTAAGACGTCAACTACCGGTCACACGAACCAAAATCGACTGGAACAAAATATTGAGTTATCGCATCGGCAGCGAATTGAAGCACCATTGAGTTTCGGGAACGAACAAATATATTTTGACGAATACGCTCCCACAAATTGGCAATATATAAGGTATAGGGTAAACGTCGACCAGTTTCAAAATAGAAGCGTAAGGTCGGAGCGGATTAATGCTCCGTTGTATAAAATATCGAAATTGTTTCAAGTTACACGGGAAAATTATAAATAAGGACGAGGACATTGCAGAACAATCAACATAATTTCTTTCAATGTTGCTACTTGTTTGGAGTCGAGTAAGAAACACGGGCCGACTTTCGTAGGTGCGAGTTAATCGATTAGAGCCCGTCGAGGATGGCTTTCCCCTCGGGCTGCGGTGATGCCTGTTACGGCGTCAATCGATGCCCGGGAAGAAAGCCCAACCTCGAAACGTTGTTGCGACGGTGCATTTTCGAAGCCAGAGAAAAGCTTCCACGAGTGCCTTAGAAACCACCAACCGGTTATCGTTTCTTTTAATGTCGGTCGATGGTGTGGCAAACACTTGAATGCCCCGTCGACGCGCCACTGCTCGAGAGCCTCGTCCACGAAAACAGATATTCAAATATATAGATACGTTGTTAGTTTGGTAAATTTCACTCTTTCGTGCGTCGGTTACAAAGGCGATTAGGTCCACTTTGTAACGACAATAATCAAAGATAGTTCAAATCGCGACAGATCCTAGAGCAAATGTTATCCTAAAGATTTATTCATCTATCTCTGTTGACCGCGCGGCAGCAATTTATCATTTCGACCGCTAATTCTTCGGCACCGAACGTGTACATAAGAGTAGAAGGATAGAAAGGCGCATCCGTCGTCCCTCGCGTTCGGCGACGATCAATTATAGCCCAGACGATGCTAAAAGTCAAAAGAAAGCCATCTGTGATTTATCTTTTATTGTTGATTAGTGGGATGAATGTAATGTAGCAAAATTGCAGGAAATATGTAATTTACAGGCAATCCTGATGTATTAAAATGTTGAAGAAATGTTCCTCTATTTTATTTTGACAAACTTGGTCAATGGTTATGGTTTACTACATGAAAATGGAATTCGGGAGACGAATGGGTTTGTTAATAAAAGCTGTTCTCAGGTATTCCAAAACTGTCTAATTTGTCTACTAAATTGCAGCGGGTTTGTCGGCTTTACCCACAACAATAAAACTATAAAGAAATATAAGTACCCGGGATTCAGAGATTAGCTGGCCGGGGAAAAGAAGAGAGGTTGCGGCCGACGTTTCCAACGCGAAACATCGAACATTCCAAACGCCATTGTCAAACTTCTAGGTTTACAAGAAGGCGACGCTGACGTCCGACGTACACGTTTTCGCGTTGAAAACGTCGGCCGCAACCTCTCTCTTCTTTTCGTTCGATACGTTTGCGCTCCTTTATTAGCGGCGTAGACTTTCTTCGTTGCGTAACTCCAGCTCGTCCACGGCTACCGTCGTTTATTCGGCGTCCCGCTGGAATTTTTCCACCACGTAATGCAAAATATCCAAGTATTAATGAACGTAACCTCGGAAAATTCGGGCAGCGGACATTTTTAATTGTTACAGAAAATTTAACATTAAACGTCCGAAGACCGTAACGATACTTTTTGTAATATCGGGCGACGAACCGAAAAGAGGAATTACGAGTCGCGCCTTCGATTTCCAAGTTTTGCGTTTGGATGACGACCCACTGAGAAAAAAGTCCGAAGACTCGTCGTTGCGTACCAAAGACTACGTTAAGGTGTCGATTGCCCCACTCTTCGGAATTTTTTTTTCCTAAAGTGGATTACGCGTATTGATCTTTACTACTACGTACTTTCGTTGTTCTAAATCCCTTTATTTCCTGGCTGTTGCGCGTACTGTACAGAAGAGAAATATGGGAATTGTCAAATTCAAATTTGACCATCCGAGTTTTTCAAATCTCGTTTTGATACCTCCCGAATCCAAAAAAGTAAAAAAAAAATCAGTTTGTTGGCGTGTGTTTCGCTTAATTTCTTGGGATGGGTAAAGATTAAGAAACGAAATTTGGCACTGTGGCTGGCATATGAAGGGCATCGATGCTATTAAATATTGGTATAGAGGGTTGGAAGATAAGAGAGGTCGCGTATCTCGAGTAGGGTAGGACTTAATTTTATTCTTTATTAAAGTTACAATTTTTTTTTATAAAACTCGTCTCTACCTTTAAAATTGAGCTTTTTGCCATTTTATAGTTATAAAAACTTATCAGATTTTGTTATTAAAAATATAGAAACAGACGGCGCCACAAACAATTTTATTTTTTGCTTAATAATAATTGTATTAAAAAAACTCGTGACAGCCGGGAAAGTTACGCAACTCCCAGTTGCTAGACTTTATTTTTAATTGGTACGAGGGAATACGCGAGTTGGGTGATCGGATTCTCAAAATACTCGAAGCATTTTGCTCTGTGGTTTTGAAAAATTTTGTGAATCGGTCGCGCAGATGATTACTACTTTCGATATTTGCCCAAGTTGTAAGCGGCACTCGCCGTTCACCTTTTAGCGACGAAACTTTGGCGGCACTCTCGCTAATATCGACTCGCTATACGTTATGCAATTTTTTCGAGTAGAGTAAATGGCAAAATTCCGTTACGTCTGGTATCTCTGCTTCGGAAAACGGGAGGGAATGGTGTGGGAGGCGCGCGGTTTCGCCCTCGATGCGCGTGATTAGACTGTTTGTTCGGGCGCGGGACATCCGCGGATAGAAGGTTGCGTACGTCTGCCGGGCCGAGGGACTTTTGTCCGCTCTACCGCTTCCCTACAACGCCGATAGCGCTGGTTCTCGAGACACCGTCTCCGGCGATGGTGTCTATGGCTCGTTTTACACGGCGTGATTGGTAGAGAGGGAAATGGATTGGCAGACGAGGGCGCAAATTAGAGGGAACTTTATCGTGTCGTTGCCGAGAATCGGTCGCCATATTGGTACTCCTAAAAGTTCGTATCTTTGCGGTTGAAATAAGAACCTCTTCGGTATATCTTTTATTAGATTATTTATTACTAGCAGGTGGGCTCGGCGTTGCTCGGGCAAAAGTAACGATAACTAAGATAAAGATTATTACGTTACAGTCAACCTTACCCATTTTCACAGAATGCAAGAATTGGGTCCCCTTGTTTCCAGACTAATTAGAGAATTTTTAGATGGGTCTAAAAATATGTTCGATTTCCCGCAAAAACGAAAAAAACTGCATCTGCGTCTTGCACGTCGCTTCTCTTAACAATTCCATTGTTACGTAGCATTTCCATTGTTGACACTTCCATTGTTACTTAGCACTTCCATTGTTGATGGAAGTGTTAAGCCTTAATCCTGTCCCTCTTCCCCGTGGGAAGGAATTTCGAAAAATCCCTTCTTAGTGTGCGTTCTCCTAACGTACCCTAACTGTGTACCAAATTTCAACTTTCAACTCCTAACCGTTTGGGCTCTGCGCTTATTATTATTATTATTATTATTATCCCGTCTCGATTATATATTAGATTCGCGACACAAGGAATTTTGAATGTTCGATTGATTGTTTTTCGGTTGTATCGATAACGAAAGAAGACGGAAATGAACGGGGAAAAAACATTTTACGAGCGACTGTGCACGATATAGGCTGTGTGTGTTTAGTTTTAGTAGCGCAATACAGGTAACCCCCGTATAACACGGCACTTCTATAGCACGGATTCACTCTAACACGGTTCGAGAATTGGGTAAAACCCTAGTACAACAGAAAATGTAATAAATTTTTACATACTTAAGTAATAGTAGTTTACGAAAATTATTATTTTCGTGAACTATTAGTACTTAAGTATGTAAATTTTCTCTTCTCGCCTTCTGTCGATACACGTGGTCCTTCTCGAAACTTGTTTCAATGTTGCCAGATATCGACGCTTCTGCTTCTGATGTTGCCGAATGTTTTTTCCTTATTCCATACTTGCTTTATTCTTCATAAGTGCTTGGCACCATATAAGGAAATTTATAAAGATCTTTTAACTAGAAGCGAGCAATCTAAAATTACATACATTTTGCAAAAGGTAAAGCATGGATCTGAAGATAATGCAGAAAAATGCTCAGAGGATAAGGATAACTTGCCAAAAAGAAAACGCTCTCGGTTAATTAATAGTGTTTTTAGTGATGACGATGAAAACATTGTTTAATTTATATTAATATGTATCACTTCAAAAATTTTAATGAAGTTATTTATCTTAATTATGAAAATATACTAGCATGTTTTTTAATCTTTGGAATCTAACCCTCCTTTTCGTATTAGTTCTTTGATTCGTATAACACGGATTCGCATAACACGGCAATTTTTTGGAACGTAACTATCGTGTTATACGGGGGTTACCTGTACTTGTTTCAATTACGTTTCTTTACTTTCATATAATAATCGTGTTTTATTTTATACTGTATATCGTCGTCGGGTTCTTACTACTAAAAACTTACGAAGAACAACGTATCGTAGGAAATAATGGAAGCGCCTTATAGAGGCGCATGTCGTTTTATAGACGTCCTCTGGTGGAAATAAACATCGGACTCGAACTCTGGTTCTTCGGTACTAGGCCAGAGACAACGCCGAAATCCGTGGTGCCGAGAACCTTTTTCGAAGTTTATACCGAGAGACGTTCGTTCGTTCATAATTTTATTAACGTAAAAAGTATGTAAAAGAATTTATGACAATTTAGACGACGGTCAAAAGTTTTCTTGGCAGTTTTGTTTTTTGGTAAACATAAGCTTGGCGCTCGGAGGCGAAATGTACTAAACAATAATAAGGGCAAAAACTTGTGTGTACCGCTTCCAAGCGCCAAGCTTATCTTAACAGTCAAAATTTTTGTTTGGTAGTCTAAATTGTCATAAGTTTTTACTCTGCATAAATTTTTTCACATTTCACGTGTTTCTGTTTAATTATTCAGCGGATCAAATGCGCTGCCAATCGAACGCTTTCGATACGCCGTTTAGAAAAATTGTTATAAGAAGTTTTAATTGGCATAAATTTGAACTTTTATAATTCCGAGTAACATTTTGAATGAAATTCATTTCTTTCCGTGCAATTTTATTTTTATAAGCATAAAATTAAGCCGTAAAACTGAACTAGCTCTATGGGAAATCGTCGCAAACTTTGACTTATCGACCCGGAAGATTCGCCGGCACCTGGCTGATAACCAGAGATGCTTAAGAATTTAAAGTTGAGCTTTCTAGCTCCAGCATTTTTCTCTGCCAGCGTCTGCAGTTCCGGATGAAGAAATAGGAGGAGATTTTGGCGATTTTTGGACTTTCCAATTTGCCAACCCAGATACTATTTTGCATTCTTATACTACGTTCGCGCACAATCCACGACTCTGTAGATAAATCGAGATCGAACTATTTGGATTGTGACTGTTGCCAGTCGAACGTCGTGCTCCGGTCGAGAAGAACCCGGCTATTATACGCGATGATAAAACTGACATAACTACGCGGTAAGTCACCAACACCAACAAACAAAATGGAAGTTTTGATTAAAAATAAATAAAATACTATTTCTTGCCATATATCTAATAATAGACGGATGTCATCGTTTCTCGAAATACAGTATTTTTTTTTATTTCTCTATCGATAGCCCGACACGTGTTCCGCAGCCATCTTGTGTTTTCTCGTGCGCGTGGGATTGTGGGATCTCTCTTAGGCTGCGACTATGCAGACGCGAGCGAGCGAGAATATGTGGCGAGAAGAGACGCGATAAATATCAAAACCTGTCAGATATGTGCGAGAACCAGAAATTCGCTCTCGCCAGCGTTATTTCTCGCTTCTCGTTTGTGCATGGTTTTCCTTTGCGAAAACTAAATCGCTCGCAACCTCTCGCTGGCTCTAAATTCGCGTCTGCATAGTCGCACCCTTATGACTGGATCTAGTTTCGAGAACTCTCTCGAGTCGATCGCGATTGAACCCCGTTTCATTCGAGATTGAAACGGTGGAGAGAGGTGGCACCACGGCATAGTCGCCGACCTCGATCACAATCTAGATCGAAATGCTCGGTGCGAACGGGGTATTGGGGTGCGTCCGGCCACCGCGGGCCGAAAGAACGCGTACGCGCTTCCAACTCGCCGGCCAACAAGAGTCTAGCTCCCAGGTACACATTAGTTCT